GGAAATGGTGTCTGCTGTATTAATGAGACTGGACTGAAGGAGACCTGCCCCATGGTGACACTTGGCCCACAAGGATGGGAATGACACCAGCCCGCTCTCCAGTGAGTGTGCGGCAAGGGCATGTCAGAAAACTATTCCAGTACAAGTAGGATAAACAAATGTTAGAGGCCTCTCTCTTCAATTATTAGAGAATTTTCAATTTGTGCTGTAAAATCTTCCCTGTCAAACCCCTCCATTAGAGGCGAGAGGGGTTTCCTTGCGTGGCTGAGCACTGCGGATGCAATTTCTTCCAATCCAGGTGCAATCAGGAAGGGCGGGTTGGTGCCTGCAGGACGCTGGTGCCAGCGGGGAGCAGCGAGCAGGAGCCAGGTGAGCAGCCTGGCACATCCCAGCACCTTCCAGCAAGGCAGAGCAGCTCAGGGAAACGCAGGCAGGTACGGCAGTGACCCGGAGCTTCCTGCTGAGCCGTAGGCGGTAGGACTTGCCAAGAAAGGAGGAGCCACACACTTAAATGTGTGTGTTTTTGTATAAATATATCTGCATATAAAAATTCAGTGCTTTAAATGTCTAAAGGCCAGGATTTTGAGTGAAAGTGATGAAACTAATATAGACCATAAAGAGAAAACATGCTTGTACTCTCAATTGAAATAGGATGGCTTCAAAGATTTGGATCATGAGAAGGCCAATAAGGAATTAAATCTATTCAATCCCTTCAGATGTTTAGGAGCAAGGTAATCAAAAGTACCTATGAACAAGAGAGAGCATCAACCTAGCAATAAAACATTTCCCTCTTTTCCACCTTTTTAAACTATAGAGACATAATCATAGAATTAGAAGAATACAATTAAAAGAATTGTAATGACATATAAAGCATAAGTCAACAGAAGAGCTGAAGCAAGAACTCGGGACACGACAGTATTCTTGTATAGTAAAAGATAGCAGCAATGGGAATAATTTCAGTTCGTCCTAGTTCAGTTGATCCTTTTGCTTAGTCATTTTTTTATAGGATGAATAAACCCCAAATGCTATTCATGGCTCTCCTTTCTATGCTCTCTATATTTTTTGGCTAAAAGCCTCCTTGTCTAGGGAAGGGTTCCTCAACACCATCCCAGCTGTGCCAGCATGCTGGGTGCCAGGGTGACAGTCCCACTTTTGGACGTGTGTTTGAGAAGGCTGGAGCCTGCTGTTTGTTTCCTGCCAGCAGGATTTAGCTCAAGACACTTGGTGGTTTTGCACAGGCACTGGAGCTTCTCCGGGGGAGATGACAAGTGTGTGTCTGCAGTTGGTCATAGAAACCATTCAAACACTTGCCATTAATTTATTTCAAGGACAAACTGTTGAGTTTCACATAAATATTTGGTTTTACCAGAGTGGTAACGAATCTCCTCTGCTTTTTATCCTTACCACCCCTGGGAAGGCAGGAGGGCAGCTTTGGCGAGCAGCGTAGCGCGGGCAGGGGCTGCCACGCTCGGCTGACGGCAGGTTTCACTCAGCTCTTCACTCGCGCTCTATTCGTCCCTTCTCCAGCCATCCCACGCAGCAGTTACGTGCGCACACAAATATCTTATGTCACCGTGCCACGCACATATAGGAAGCTCTAGAATTTCGAGTAGACGCAGGATAAAGCTCCAGGCTCCTCCTGTAGGGATTTATTTTTTGTTTTTTAATAGAGCCACTCTGCATGACTTTTGCATTTAGTTCCCATGTCTCGTGTTGCGATGCTGCTTGGTATGCAGTCCATGCAACGTGCCTACACACAGCGAGCACGCTGGCAGCTGAACCGGGCTGTTGTGAGGCTGTTCTGTGGGGTCAGATGCCAAAACTGCCATGTCTGCGTTCAGTTATTTTTCCAAGTGAAGTGGTTTGGGTATGACTGAAGGTGAATAAAATGTTACCTAATTCCATATCCTATGAACTCTAACTTGCAAAAGTAACGTGAATGTAAAATGCTCTACTATTTGTGTCAAATGATTTCAAATTCAAGGCTTCTACAGGAGGCAGGGGGAAACAACCCACACACAAGCACAAGCCCCCGCAGAAGGAGCACAGGATCCCACCACAGGAGTGTCCAGGTGATGGGAACCTGCAGCCTGAGGGTGCCTGGCTGCTGCGAGACAGCTTTGCTGGTCAGGGGCCAATACCCCCAGACCAGCATATCCAGCATATTCCTGTGCACGGCTGGCAGATCCTGCAGGAAAGAGCACATCTCTAAGAGGTCCCCACAGACCCTGCCGAGGTTTGCACACAGGGTGTTGTGTTTAGCTTCAGGAGAAGATGCCAAACAGCCACCAAATGATTCCTAGCTTTTTTTTTTCATGGTACAAAACACCTGGCTCCTACCCTTCCACTCCATCAATTTTCAGAAGGAAAACACACTGGGAATATCAGGTATGTGGTTCTAAGGAAAAGTCCATCTTCTCACACATCCTGGTATGACAAGAGGTTTGTACCCGCTCCTGGTCCAGTTCCAGCAGACTGGAGAATGTGAGATCAAAAGAGCAGATGTCTTCAGTTGCAGCCTGTGCAAGCTAATTGCTGAGCTGGCAAGCCTCCCTGCCCATTTGAACCTGCCAATTGCAAGATCAGCAGTGATATTATAATTACATGCAAGTGCTGTCACTTATCCAGTACCTGATCCACTTGCTGGAAAAATAGAAACATAAGTTTGAAACTCAACATTGGACGGTTGCTGCCGTGAGACTTGTTTTGAGTCCTCAGATGACTCCCAAGCTGGATATTTTTTTTTATTACAGTTCCAGCATTTGCTGACTGTTCTTTGTCCTTACTATAGCGGTTATAACCTGCGCTGCTATTTTATACCTAGGTCCAGGGCTGTTTGTGAGCCAGCCTTGCCTTCTCCCTCCCCTTCCCATGCCAGCAACACGCATGTCCTCAGCAATGTGGACCTCTCTGGAACGGAGGAAGGCAATGCTCCCATTGATGCCATCTGGATTGACTGGGGTGAGGACAGATATAATCTGCTAGGAGTTTTGCTAAGATTAATGGGGATGCTTCAAACCACAGCCAGACCAACAGCTGGCAGGAGACAGCATGGCAGGACTTTCCACTCTGACCTTGCATTGCAGATATGCACCCAGGGATTGATGATTTGGTTGCCTTTTGTGTGAGCAAACTACCGTGATTAGGCTGTGCAGAATATTCTGCATTGAATGGCTCAGCCAAGATGCGAATGACTTTCTTGATCAAGTTTATGATGTGTATGCAGCTCATGGTTTTGTGGAGGTCGTGAATGCTGAATGCATTGTTTGTGGCCTGAAAACGCAGAGCAAGTTGTTTGGGTTTGGGTGTGCTTTTGTTCTTGCCTTGGGGAGGAGGCAATACTAAGCCAAGGTGAACACTAGAGACCCACTTTCTGTACCCAGCCTAAGTGTTTGAATTGCACGGAGCCCTCCAGAGAGGTCCCCTGGGCCCCCATGGTCCCAGGGTCACCAGGTAGGTAGGGCTGAGCATTACTGCCAAGGCTGCTGGTTCCCACTCACCTTCACGTTGCTGGAAGAAACGGAATAATTGCATATTCAGGCAGATTTTATAACAAGATTTATCTCTCCTAGTTGTGTTGCATGTTGCTGCAGGTCAGAGTGGTAAGTGATTGCAGAATAAAATACTGGAGTTACTCTAATCAAAGCAGTTTCTGAGGACTTCCAATGAGACTGTTCCTCAGAAGAGAGTAAAACCTGCACGAGGATGTGCTGCTGCTTCAAGATCTGGGCTCTCTGGGTGCATCTCAACTCTGGCAGTTCCTACCCAACCTCTGGAGAGCTGCTGAATGACGCTGCCTTCCCACAGGCTCCACCACTTCCTTGAGCTGACCTTTCTCTGACACCTTATGGAAAAAAATAAGAATCATCTCTTGCCTTCAGTGCCTCTCAACAAATTTTATTTCTCTTTCACAATCCTCTGGCAGCAGAGTGGAGAAGTGGCTAAGGGATTTTATTTTCTCAAATATTCCTGAGTCTCTTTCAAGCTAATAAAAATGACTTGAAATTTCTCAAAGTAAAAGTCATTTTAAACTATTTTCACGGTGGTTTTCTGACATTCTTAGTTTTAAATTTTGAAGTGGGGAAGCAGATTCTCTACAACATGTTTTATGAGGCTTTTGCATTTCCTTTCCAGCGGGAAGGTAGCTCCAGGCACTAGGTAATGAGAGCGGCACAGAGGATTGTGTTTCCCTTTCTAATGCAAGATTCATGTCTGATATACCTTCGCTTATGTTCCCAGGACGTTGTTGCACAAGCTTCATTCAAGCAGACTTCCCATAGCGTGGAACAAAGGGCAGCCCGGCCGAGGGAGCAGTGTTGGCCGCATCCTTTCAGGGAGAGCTCGAGGTTACCGGCTGCTCCACCACAACAGTTTTGGTCCCTCTAGTTAATAGCAGGGATATGGCAATATTTCAGCTTTCTTTTGGAGATTTGATTTTTCCTTTGAGAAACAGCTAATTCTTTTCCAAACGTGAAGAGTAGAAATAAATAATTCATTCCGCGGTAACAGAGAGATTAATTGCTGCAGAGTGAAGGCAGTCCTCTCCCTTTGCACCACCGAGCCATGCAGAGCCCTTGAGCCGAAGGAAATGGACTCCAGGTGAATTCTTCCTCCTTGATCCTTGTGCAGAAAACTAAAGCCTGAGGTAAGCAAAGGGGCAGGGAAGTATTTTTTGATGATGTGACAGTATTGAGTTGACAGTGATTTGTGTAAATGTGTAAAAGAAAAGCTCTGATCTGAAAAACAAAACCTTGAATGAATAAATCATGGGCCGTCTCTTAATAGCTTGACAGCTTAACTCAGCTCTCCTGGTGGTGAAAGATGGCCCAGCTTGAGTGCAGGGAGGGACTCCTATTGTCTGTATGTTCTTAAGTTCAGGGCCAGCCCACCATCGCCTCAGGAGTGCCAGTTTAGGGCAAGGACGTTTGTGCAAGAGCTGGGTGACCGCTCGGAGCAGGATGATGGAGGGAAACACCCACCTCCTCCAGGTCATCCGCAAGATGCGGCTGGAAATCAATAAACTGGAGAGGGAAAACAGGGCCCTGAAAGGAGAGCTCGAACTCTGCGGGCAGAGAGCACTGCAGAAGGAGCCGGGAGCAGGAGGAGAAGGTGGCGATGGAGAATCCAGGAACCTGGCTGATGATGGGAAGGAGCCTGTTGATCCACCAGTGCCCCTCGGCAATAACAACTCGACTGGTTCCACGCTGGCACCAAAGGAGCAGAAAGGTATGGAGAAGTCAGGGATCCTAACAATAATAATTTGCTTTCTGATGAGGATCTCCCAGTTCCGTTGTTCTATATTGCGGGGAACATGAAATGACACAAGTACGTCTCTCGTTACCTTGAATGAAGTACTTTGCCTTCCTTCAACGCCCACATCCAACAAAATGTTAGTTTTGTGTTTAACCCTAAGATCCCCTATGGGAGATACCCTTATACTCCCAGATGAGCTCGCTGAAGTGTTTTGCTACTCCAGGGATCAAGCCAAGCTCAGCTCATCTTTCTTCAAGTGGAAGTTGACCTTTATTTTGAATTTTTGTGGGCAGGAGCTGTCTTGTTTTTGTTATTATTTGTCAATGCCTTACTCCTTAGTTTTCCAGACATAAAAGAACTAACTGTTCTAATCATGTTCTGATCTCTCCTACAGCAGTAAAAGGTGAGAAAAAAAAACCTCTATAAATAGTAACAAATAGTAATAGGTTGCATATCTATGACACCAGATGTATGGTTTCTACATGTAGAATAGAACAGAGCCCATCACTGAATCCCACTTAGCTCACGGCCTTTTACATTGGGACTTTCAGTGGCTGCAGGCTTCATTATTATCTTGGGAGAAGATGACTAGTCTGTCAGTGAGTGTGAAAGACGTGCAAACCGACTTCTTACTTTGTGGCCTTCCAGCTGTATTCTATGGTGGAGAGGAGAGAAAAAAAAAAAAAAGAAAAAAGAAAATATTGGCATTAAAAGGAGATGTTTAGCCTCTTCCACCTTCCCCATAATCAAGAAATTTTGAATCAAAAATCCCCAAGTAATTAAAAACACATCAAGGGCTATCTAAATTCCAGATGTAGATGGCTCTCCATTCCTAAGGCTGCAACGGTGACAGGAGGGCTCAGAGCAGGCTGAGCGCCCCTTGTCCTGGAAGCAGGAGCAGTCCTTAGCCCTGCTGTTTCAGTGCAGCAATGGTGTAGCCAAAGCAATAGATCACAGGGAGGACCCATGGGTGTCCCTGCCTATGGCACCAAGTCCTGTGGGCACAGACCGGTTCCAGGCAGGAGCCAGGGCTGCCCAGAAGCCTCCGTGCAGAAGGTGAGTCCACCAGTGATAGCTCCCAGACTTCCCCCACACAGCGGCGGGACCCATGGGCTGCTGCGTGACGAGCAGTTCAGCAACACGGCCAAGAATTTCATTGCTATTTCCAGCTACCTAACTCGGTGTGACTGATGGATTCACCAAATTCATTCTCCCCTTTCCCCCCCAGGAAATGCCATGACCGTGCGGCGCTACCCAATTGCTTCGCCAGTGTGGCCCAAGTCCAGCCAGGCTCGGCCTTGCACGGGTGACCCACGGTCTCTGAGCAAAGGACTCCTGGACACGCAGGGGGGTGCTCGGCCAGCAGCCGGTCCCACTGCTGCACCACTGACCTACGTGCAGGGAAACGGGGCCGAAGAAGGTCCAACCAATGGTTTCTCCAAGGGTAACGCCAGCAAGAGGAAGCTGTTTCGAGAGCAAGTTTACAAGTGCAGGTAGGCTGGGTTGACCTTCGTGGCATAGATGGCCTGGGCTGACATGCTCGTTATGTTTGGTAGCACATATAAAACATGCCTTGGGGTTTTAGTTCGCTACCTGCAAAGCCTCAGGTTGTTCAGATGTGAATGCACCGCGCTCAGAGGCGAGTTCTGTTGAGGCGGGGGTGGCCCACTGCTTGAGAGGTGTATTAGCCTTGGCCACCATCGGTAGTTTGAATTTGTCATAAAAGAATATACGAGGGAGGAGAGATGAAATCATCTCCCCATTCCAGGCTGGTATTTTGCAGGTTGATGTGTTGCACTAAAGAGCTCAGTGGGAAAGGGATCTTTAAATCTTCAATGAAGATGTCAAGGCACCTTGAACTACGCTTTTGAAAGCGTGATTCACTTCATGGATTTAGACCTATTGTATCGCTCTTCCTCTCTAACTGAAGCATTGCAAGTTAATGCAGCCCTAAGAAATACCTTCTTATGGGATGGATCCCACATGAAGCCAAATGTCCCCTGCGCAAAAGCACTTGGGAGCAGTGCTCCTTGCTGAAAGGCTGGAGGGAAAAACGAAGTTGTGTGTTCAGAGGACACATGAGGGTCAAATGCTTCACAGCATTCGGACACCTAAATTTAGTCCCCAGCAGGGAGCTACTATCACTTTCAGCAGCACCAGGGCTCTGAAACCGGATGGGTCTCAACATGTGCTCCCAAGCTCTGGGAATTGTCTGAAACCGGGTGCTCCAGAGGCCTCCATGCATGGAGTCCTGCGTCCGTCCCCATGCAGGACCACCCCAGCCAAGACAAACAGCATACAGGGAATGCAGTTCAGAGTAATGGAAATAATAGTAATGGAAATAGCAGTGCAGATCTCCCGTAACTGAGGTTTGGGGACTTATTGAGGGAAAATGCTGTTCTTAGAGGGTCAAGGAACATTACTGGGTATTGTTTTGCAGTCTTTGGAGCTGCCTTGTCAGTACTGAATAGCAGTGAGTTTGGCACAGAGAGAGTCACGTCTCATCACTGTTGGTTGCCTTAGGAGAAGCAAGACATTAGCACAGGAAGAGTTTTTTAACCTGGACCCATCAGTAGACTGAACTGGATGTAGTTAGTCTGAAGCACAATGTTATGCTTGCTTACTGGAGAGGGGAAAAAATGAACGTTTTTTCATCATAAAGGTGGACATTTCCATTATATACACAAAAATCTGACACAGATAGGATAATTTGTGTCAAGGAGTTCAGAAAGCTATTTAAGCTTTCTTATAGCAATGGTGTCTTTGCTTGCTAGAACGCTATTTGGTGACAGGTTATTCTAGACTGTTTGTTGTAGTTTTCTCATATTTGTTTTAAAACATTTATGAAATTCTGGATATTTTTACTCTCTAGAAGTATATAATCTCAGATTTTTCTCGATCACAGTTGATTCCAAGTAATAAAATAGCAGTGCTACCAGATCATTGTTAATCTCTGTCTGCAACACTTTTATTGCTATGTGTTAAAGCACTGTTTATGCCATATTATTCTCACTTTTGAGGAAAATGAAAAAGAAGTAAATATTTTAATACACAAGGCAGGATAAGGGAAGCCAAATATTGTTTTGAGGGCTCTTACAAAGTATGCAAAGCCTATTTGGTACAACTGTCCCCAAGTCATACTCTGTCCCCTTTATCAAGCTCACCTATGCATGACTTGTGTCTCATTTAAAAATGTTTGGGTAGGATAGATGGGGTGGACAGATCCAATAGCTTCAGCTTCCAGCAGGATAGGGCTAATGGGCAAGGGAGAAGGTTGGAGGGCATTGTCGAGGCCCTCTGCACCGTCAGAAATGCTCATAGTGACAGCAAAGATCAGAACAAAACCAAATGAACAAAGGGCCCTGCAAGCCACAATTCATTTATTTGACAAATGACCAGATTCAAAACATACAAAATATCATGTTTTTACATCTGCTTCTACTGTGGGCTGAATTTGCCATGCGCACTTCTCAAACACCTTTGTACAATCACGGTCAGTAGCTACCTACACGTACAAGTAGGAACCTACTGGAATAACTCCCGGATTAGGAGCACCCAGATGCTGCATAGACCGTAGGTTGATATGCACACTTAACCTTCTGTCCCAAACTCAGATGCTGATAGAGGACCAGAAGACTCAGCAGAAAAGGTAGATGTTTCCAATAGAGAGACCTGGGCTTGGCCCTGGTTGTTGTTGTTGTTGTATTTATTGCACAATCTATATGTTTGTAATTCTCAATCCTTTCTCATTTTTCACCAGGGGTAAAGTGAAGGCCGTTAGTTTCCTGTTACCGATGGATACGTCACCACATGCTGAAAATCCAGGTTCTCTCAAATGCCCTCAAAATCAGAACACAAAACAGTTAACCACCATCATTGAAAAGGATATGTGAGCTGGTGAATTTTTAAAGGCCCATTGATTCTTGAGATAAATTGGCCTTAAGTGACAGCTGTGTGTCAGGTTCCTCTTCTGCAAAACGCTTTGGCCGGGTGCCTTTGCGGAGTCGCCTAGACTGTGTTCCAGGTCACTGGCCTGTTGTTTAGCAGGGAAATGGAAGCCACGACAAAAGCTGCTGGGAGCCTCTGTGCCACGACGAAACCCCATGATAGCAGGGGCAGCTTCTGTGCACAACACCTCCAGCATCCCTCCCCTCGAGAGTGCTTTAAATAGGATGCTAAAGCTGAATTTGCTGTGTTTGTGTCACAAAAACGGGGAAACCACGTCACCTTCTGGACACGCTGATCCCCTTAGGCACTTGTTGTAAAGATAAAGAATTTGTTGTTGCCGTTAAAGAACCTGTGAGGCTTTTTCTGTATATAAAACTCCAAAATTTCACAATACCGATACAGCTAAGTTCACAGGGCATTACAGATTCGTTTTATATTACCCTAAAAAACCTTGAGAATTGACCTTGTCTGTTAATGTCCATTTTGTGTTCACGGTCTGTGACTGCTGTTGCAAATGCTTTTAAAGATGATCATGTTCACTCAGAAAAGTGAATTTCTGAGGGGGCGCTGGGGAGCAAAATGCTGACTGGTATGATGGTGGGACTACAAACCTTTTCCTAACTTGGTATGTTCATCAGAACTAGGGGCTATATACCAAGACAAAATAGGTAAAATGTTGAATGTGAGAATTTTGAATGATTGGCTTTGGAGCAAGGCTCAGAACAAGAGAGTCTTTAGAGGAATTCAGCAAAGAACTATGTACAGAATAAATGTAAGAAGGATCTACAGACAGCTTGTAAAACACAAAGAAAGACAGTGTCCCACATATTATTTTATTTGATATACTGCATTAAAGAAAAGAAAAAAAATGGCTATTTCTTTGTATGCAGGCAATATTGAAGAGTGAATATTGCACAGCCAATGCATGAATAGTAGAGGTTTGAATGGATAATTCTGAGGAAAGATTTCATCTCATTGCCTGCTCTTAAATGATATACTTCTCTGGAGTCTCACAAAGTGAAAACATAGACCTGGTGTTAAGAAACTTCCTTACTGATTTCCAATGATCTTGTGCCCTCTTATAAAGTTATGTGCTCTGGTTTTGATTTTGAAATTCAAGATGCTTTGTACATTTAAGTAAATTTTTAATATAGTTCCATTAATGAAGTAAAATTTTAATTTCACTGCTATTTATTTGTAAATCTTATTTTCAGCTTGGGTCTGCAGAGAGTTGCTTTGTAATGTTAGAACTAGTGGTAAATAAGTCAAAAAATAAGTCTACAGACACTTGCCCAGCAGAGAGAGATGAATTTCATTTGTTTCCAGTGGATGGCTACTCCAGTAAATGAGGTTACGGCTTGGAAAGTTTACTGAGAAGCTCACTTCAGAAAGCATTAGAGGTAATATTTATTTTTTAATGATTTAATGAAAGCTTAATTGTCAAAAACTAGATGGTACGTATATGTTCAGTTAATTACTTAAAGCTAGAAGCTGCACTCCTACTGTGAGTAGAGACAATTCTAGCAAACCCTCTGCAACACTTGTAGGGTGGAAATCATCACTCTACATATGCTTCTCCTTTGGTCTGGGCTACTTGCAGACCTAATAGAGCCACACAGCACCCAGATAAAACTGGGTTTACAGCTCTAAACTCAGAGCTCTAAAAATGTCTTTAAACCAGGTGAAATTTCATCATATTCTGCTACGGGGAGGAGGAGATTCCTTTCACCAGTCTTTCCTCTCTGCCTGCTGTTCAAGAAGAGCTTCACTCTTGCAGCAGATACTGAGGTGGAAACGCGATACTCGGGACTGTAACAGAGGACTGACAATATTATTTGCAGTGAGCTCTTGCTCCAAGTTCAAATGCGCTTCCTGTTCATATCCATAGGCAATTAATTCATACCCAAAGACAATAAATCAGTCTAGGGTGCACCTAATGTCAGACTCCCCCACGGTACAGTACAATCCTTCGACTCCAAGCTGGATTCACAGGATTGAGAGCACAAATTGTGTGCCACATTGTCTGCAATATTTAGGTCCATTGTATTCTTGCTCCTGTATCCCTGCAGCTGAACTTTGATTTTGATCTGCCATTGCTGATTAAGAGCATATCAGAATGGCAGTCATTCCTTCATCTAAGGAGCATCTGATACCGGGTAAGTGAGGTTTATCTTTAATACTGTTATTTTAAATGATGCTAACACCCTTAACTCCAGCACTGATATGGTCCTTCTGTAATTTTGAAATCCTACTTTGTTTAGCTGGGGATGGAATATAAGAAATAGACTGAAACCTGGTTTGTTCATAGGTGCCTTGAACTGGCCTTCAGGACTATGATGAATTTGATATTAAACACTTCTGGCATTTTCATTTCCTTTTTATATTCCAAGTACAGCATGGACAGGTGGCTCAACAAGTGCACAGTGTTTTCTAATAGGTATGTGCTATGAAGTACACAATATTGTCTATTCATGACGGAAAATACAGGTTATATTAGATCTATATCTGTTCTGCAGTTCTACTACACAATGACTTTACCTGACAAAAGACTTGTTAAGAGATTCAGTTGTCATCACAGCTGTAACGTAGATCAAATTCCACTGATTTTATTCAAGGAAGCTGTTGGTTGTGCTTAAGACAAGATAAATGATTGCTTCAGGGAATATTTCTTTTATTGCAAATGCTCATTTGGGTAGAAATATTTCTAGCTGTATGAGTCACCTCTTTCTTGATTGCTACTTGAGATACCAAGAAGTGATTTTTACACAGGGAATTTCAAAGCTAAGCCAGAGGCTGAAAAATGTATTTCCAACCATCCTCTAGTGTTTTCGTTCTCCACCAGGAGTATTATATGGTATAGGTAGCATGATTAAAAATGAATTATTCTCCATTGTTTTCTTTTTTCTTGAAAACTGTGATGAAATGCTTGCTTTCCTTTCTTTCTTTCCTTTTTCTTTTTCAAAAGCATGTGCTGCTTGATATACAAAATCAGTCCCACAACAGCAAAATGTAGCAAATCATGACAAAATGGCTCTGTTTTATGTAAGTCAGAAACTCAGAGTAAATTGCAAAAATTGGAGCGGACATCTCTGATCTGTGGCTCTTGAGTAGCTCGTTGGACTTGTCCTCGGTTTCGAGGACAGGGATCATCCTCTGAATGCTGGTTGCCGTGGAGACTCCCGCAACTTTTGGAATCGTAAGTTTTGCCTGAAAGGAAACACTCTTTCAGTGTGTTTTTAATGGCCATAGAGGTTTCAGGGTGTCAGCTCACTGTATAGCACCTTGACTACTATGACCAGGTAGGAAGGGAGGGAGTTATCTGTTCTAGGTGGTAACTAAGAAACTACCTGTTAAATCTGTGATTTTTGCTTCGTTTCTTCCTCCGAGGCTGTCTTGTGCATCTGTGGGACCATCGGTATACTTCATTGCTACAGCTGGTGGCTGGTCCTTCTCTGTCTGAGCTGGCATAACTGAAAGAACATCAGAAAAGGGTACCTGAATTGTATTGACATTCATTGCTCCAGGATGAAGTGATATCTCAGGCTGACTCTACCTGGCTGATGAGAACACGGTAGTGTTTCAGTTCGGCGCTCTTCAAAGGACTGAGCAGAATCATGACCGGAATCTGCCTCTTTGAGTGGTCTTCCCATGATCTCATTCTCGGTTGCAGTTTTGTTCCTAAGCAGAAAGTAAGTGTGCATCTTCCCCTTGCCTTTCACTTCTATTTCTCCTCTTTCAGTCATCTCAAAATTCTTGTATTTTAGACATCTAAAGTAGCAGAAGCAGAAATAATATAGTTTTTAGAAGAGCTATTATAAAATAAGCAACAAAATCAGAACAGGTTGGGAGAAACAACAGAATTGACCATGAAAAACTGAATTTGTTCCAACTGCTGCCAAGCAAAGCAGGCTTGAATAAAGTTTTACACATACAACCTGATCCCAAATCAGGGAATACGGTACAGTCAAATATTTAGGGGAACAGCTCCTTGTCGATGGATAAATAGAAATTAAATATTGAGGCAGCCAATATCAGTTAGACAATTATATCTAATCATTTCATCCTAGCAGGCAATCAGGTTGGTCAAGCATGATTTATCCTTGGTAAATCCATGTTAGCTATTGCTCATCACTGCCTTCTGTTCCTGCCCCAAAATGGCTGATACTGAAATAATCAGAACAAATAAAACTCTGCCCGCCCTGATTTTCTTTATAAGGATGCTGCACAGATCACTGATGAAAAACAGCATCATCTATATCTGAAAGCTGCAGCTGTCCAAGACAATGTTTTTTAGCACTGCTTTCAACAGAAAAACATTTCAGCACAGCTACTCACTGATAAGCACTGGAGCTTAGATGAATTTTGCTGGGGACACCATGACTCTCCATCCGGGAGGCAATATTCACTGTGTCTCCAAATAAGCAATAACGAGGCATCTTTTCTCCAACAACTCCAGCCAAGACAGGACCTGTATGAATCCCAACTCTAATCTTTACAGAGACATAAAATGCACCCCCCCACAAAAAAAAGATCTGTTATTTAATATCATTATATGCATCATTATATGTTAATATTATATATTAACATCATTATGTAAGAGCATATCTTAATGCTCTTCGGTCACCTAAAAGTTCATCCCAACACAGCACTGAGCATCCATAAAATGCCAGACATCCACAGAGGGAGGCCCTCTGTGATAAACGTACCCATGTGGGCCTTGCTCAAGGTCACAGATGACTCAAAAGAAGCTCTTTAAAATCTTACAGCAAACCATTAAGCACAAGCCTGACGCACAGAGCAGCTGTGGCCCACAAAACCTTGTGTTAGCAACTTACTTGGATAGGATTCCCAGAAACTGGGTTCTTTACTCCTTTTGCAGCTATTATCATCCCCAAGGCAAAGTTAGCCACCCGCTCGGCATGAGAGGATACAGGCACAGGGACTC